TGCTTCTTGGATACCCCTTTGAGGATACCCCTTTGAAGACCCCAAAGGGTCTTCAAACAACATTAGCAACACATTTCAAGCTGAATTTGTTTTTCACTCCTCAAACTGACTCCTCTTTAAGATATAGTCAATATCATCCCTCCTTTACTCCCACCATCCACCAGTCACCCAATCTTTTATTCCACCTGTCTTGTTCTTGACTCCTCTATCTTCCTCCCAATAACCTAGGGTTGCTCAGTCTGTGGCCCCTGCCTAATAATGATGGCAAACATAATAATTTCTAGCAAGTGTTGAACACTTAGAATGTGTCACACATGGTGCTAAGCACTTCACATGTGTCACCTTGTTAATCCTTTCTATGCCCTTTTGGCAGGTACTATTAGTAACCCCAGTAAAAGATGTGAAAACTCACAGGTGCAGAACTAGTATGTGGAAGGCTGAGAGTTTAAATCTAGTTTGAAGCCAGTTCTCTGACCCACCTTTTCCAACTTGGCAAATTCAACATTTCAAGGCTTAGTCTACTCTTTAATGAAGACTTTTAAATCTCTCCTGACCTTTCTTCTCCCATGCTCTCAGCATTTTCTATGCACATTTATTACAGTACACATTATTATATATGCATTTTCCCATTTATTAGTTCCGCCAAATATATTTTAGAGCACAGTCCATCAGATACAGGGCTTGGCACAGCTTATCAGCAGTCAGCGAGCCTGGACCTGGCCTCCTAGAAACCAGTGGGAGAGACTTTAAGCAAATAACCACACACATATAACCATAATATCCCAAATGATAGCTGCTATGAAGAAAAACTTCTGGTGGTAATGTGTCTGTCTCCAGGTATCGCATGAACACCATTAAAGCCACAACTTTAGCATTTTAATTTTATCATCACTAATGTGTTCACTACATTGATATGCAGTAGTATTAATAAATTATAGGAACTGTTCAGGCTAGAAATTTGATTTCTAGTTGGAAATTGAAATCAACTTTAAAGAAACGAAATGATAAGATATTGTCTCATGACAGGAGTTGCAGGAACAAGAAGATAAATATGGATGAGAAAACCTGGATTTGCACAAAGGCAAGTTTGTCTCCAGGTAAATCGCTCAATTCAGGAATATACTTGTTCTATTTAATATAGTAGGAGTTTACTGGAGTTCAGAACATAACGAAAAGCTCTATGTACTCAAACTTCTGCCAGAAAGGAGATGCTGAATGAGGGCTTGGAAGATGTACTGCACCTAAGAGTTCTTCTTACTGCCTGTTGATCTATTCTGTTTCTTCCTTTTTCATCTGCAGTGTACAAAAAATGTAACAAGTGGTATTTGCAAAGCTATTCAAATTAAATCCCAAAATATGATATTTTAGATTTCAAATTTCATGTGAGATGATGTATCCAAAGGTATTTCCTAATATAAAATAGCTGAATTGACAGAAATGATAATAAATGCTCAAAGAGTGACATCTTGGATCATGAACTATAATTCAATGACACAAAAAGAGTAATAATGAAGTACACATTAAAGTGTTTTATCAATAGATACAAAACCCACTTTAGGCCACAAACAATATTATAACGAGATTTTAAATTGCCCAGGCATGTTAGATCTTAGTGGTAACCTTTTTCTCCCCCTCTGTTTCTGCTGTGTTATGACTCAGTTCATTACATTCAAGTACTTGAATTCTTAAAGTTATGATGAACACACCAGGTTGGAAGTGGGTTCTGTTACTGGGGAAGTGGGATTTTTAAAACCAGAGCAAACCTAAAAAATAGGCACCGACATACTGCAAAGAACAAAGATACTAGTCTCAGTGTAGGGTGCTATACTATAATCATAAATACTGCTGTTGGTTTGCTGATACATTCATGTTTGAGCTCTCCTTACTCATGAGAATCCAGACAGGTATGGATACCTAAATCAAGTAGTTCATGTTAATGTAAGAGCTTAGACTTTAATGCTGAAAAATGCTACATAAACATTGTATGAAATAGTAAAAACCACTGCTTCAGGAATTGTGTGTTATCCCTAGAACTTTGTACAATATTGAAAGGGGGAATTATTTATCTTTTCTGTTAGACATCTTCTCAAGAGTAAAGATGAGTAATAACAGTAATCATCCCCAAATTCTGTGGTAGCTTTACATTTTTTGGAAGTTGCTTAACAGTTTTACTTTATATTGAGATTTTCATCTCTCACCCATTATCAAGGATTTTAAGTGTTTGTGATCAACATTTATTTTGTGTCGAATTTCTCCTCTCCTTGAAACAAATTCCCTTCTCCTTTGCTAATCAGAAGTAAAAAACTGAGCTTACTAGGTTTGACATCTTGATCCATTTGTCCCCTACGTTTCTTCTTAGGTACAACCCAACTGATAGGAAGCCTGGTATTGGCAAATGTTATCAGAGAGTCCATGGTTAACTGAAAATCGTACAAATATGGGATCTTGTATTTTCAACTTTTACATATTTCCCTCTCAATACATGTGTATTCTGATAAATCATGCTCATAACCAAATGATTTGGTGATTTTGGATGAAATGAGACCTATAAAATTTTACTATAGCTATAATTGCACCTTAACTTGAATCTTTCACCCATTTACTAAGAACAATATATTTTTAAATAATTTCCACTTTGACTCAATTATGCATACATGTTTTAACTATCCAAAATTCTAAAATAGCACAGTCTGTTTATACATATAGAACATATACAGTTTATACATATTCTATATATTCTCTATATAGTATCTATTAATTGTATCAATATATATATTTTATAAACAAATTATATAAAATATATATTATATATATGATTCCAAACATAACTTAAGAAAAAAAATATCCTAAGTTATGGGATAAGAAGTCCTTGTAAAATTAGTAGTTTCTTCTTTAAAAATTTTTTTTTAAGTTTATTGATTTGTTTTGAGAGTGTTAGCTTGAACCATGGAGTGGTAGAAAGAGGGGGAGAGAAAAATCTTAAGCAAGCTCTGCATTGTCAGTGCAGAGCCTGATGTGGGGCTTGAACTCACGAACGGTGAGATCATGGCCTGAGCCGAAATCAGGAGTGGGGCATTTAACTGACTGAGCCACCCAGCTGTCTTCAAAACGAATAATTTCTGATAACACCAATAACATAAAATTGGAAGAAAAATAACTTAACCTAGGAATATACAGAGTCAAATAAATGCATTCTATTGATGGGGCACCTGGGTGGCTCAATTGGTTAAGCATCCGACTTCAGCTCAGGTCATGATCTCACAGTATGAGTTCGAGCCCCGTGTCGTGTAGGGTTGTGTGCTGACAGCTCAGAGCCTGGAGCCTGCTTCAGAGTCTGTGTCTCCCTCTCTCTCTGCCCTTTCCCCCCTTGCCTTCTGTCTCTCAAAAATAAGATAAAATAATTTAAAAGTATTCTATTGCTATTAAGTCAGTATTCAAAATCACCATACGTGCATTATTTTAGTTATATAGTTTGCAATCTCAAACATGTACTTTTTAGAGAACAAAAAACAAGGGTTTTCTTGATAGTTACTCATAACTAGCCTGCACCAAGGTAGTAAATAAAAGAATTAACTATGAGAGCCAAGCAATTTCAAAGCCCAGTTACTCAGTAAGAGGCTTTGACTAACCTACTCTAGCTCATCATTGCAACGAGTAGAGGAAGGTACTTTCTAAACCACAGTCCCTCAAAGCTACAAAATGAATAATGCAGCAACCACTGCTTCTAACACCAGAGCATGGGCAAAGACTTACCTTAAATGGAGACGACTTCAAATAGCCTTTGAAACCTCTTCATTCTGCCATTCTGCTGTAATGACAAGGATGAAAACTACTGCCATGGGCCTCACTGTCTTCCCTCTTCATTTACTGCACACTAGACCAGGTGAGGCTCAAAAAATTGCAAGACAGTTGTTCTGGGGTGGGCCTGGGGCGCTGGGTGTCTAAAAGCCCTCCGGGTGATTGTAATGTACAGTCAGTGCTATGAATCAGTGATTTGCTCCCACAGTTGCTGCTCTCATTTGCCTGTCTTCAGTCTTGCCCTCCTGTGACATCCTTTACTAATGCTGCCAGAATGATCTTTCTGTAATGCCTCCAGAATTAAATTAAAACTGAGCACAGTGGAAGACTCAACAAGATCTGCTTTTAAATACCTGACCAGCTGCCTCTCCCTGGCTCTCTCCTGACGAGCTCCACCAAGCACCTGTTTCCAGCATGCCTGCCTCACCCTCAGGGCCTGCACACTTACCCATTCCTTGCTCTGACATGTTCTCCAACGTTTATCTGTTTATCTGCCTGGAGAACTGCATCTTCTGCAAAAAGTCTCTCCTGCCATCCTAGCCTCCACTCCTCCATCAGCGTTCTCAAAGCATAAGTGTATTTGGGTTCTCGTTTTTTGTTTCTTCTGTTGTTGTGTTTTGCTTTTGTTTTGTTTTGTTTTTTTTGACTAATCATATTGAACTGTCATTTTAGGACATATGTCTCTCTCACCTTCACCTTCTCTAGACATTTTTGGAGCAAGGACCAGCTCACATTTGCCTCTGTATCCCCCAAATTTAGCACACTGTCTGGCCTATACTGGCATTTTGTACTTGCTGAATACATGAATGAAAAGCATTTTATACTATTTGCACCTATCACAGGCAGAGCCAGAAGAGATTCACTTTGGGTCCACTGAAAAAGTCAAGCTTACCCCCCCAAAAAAGTATTAGTATTTACTTAATATTTAGTAATAGCAGTGACAATTACTTTAAAAAGATTAGCCTTTTGATTAGGCTACTAAATGAATTTTAAACATGGTTAAAGTCAAAGAAAACTTTAATTTAATCCTCAAGAGTGCTCTCTTATCATCAGCCTCCCCAAACCACGTATTTTTAGAATCACAGCCAATATACACTCACCTTAGACTTCTAAGAGAAGGAAGCCCACTTAATGCCCACCACAAGTTGGCCTAATTAGGCATCATGTGACATCTAACCCACAACTCTGGTGAACATGCTTACTTTGTATTTGCTTTCTGATCTGGAAGGGGTGGGAATATGTCCTTTTTTCTTGAAGGTTGTAAAGTGCTTGCACTGAGGACAAGGCTTGGTGCTGGAATCAATACGGCCAAGTTCCAAGAAGTACTTATATTTGATGGAATCTTCATGTGTTAAGTTATAGGTAATCGTTCTTTCTTCCAGGAATTCAAAACATTCTGTGATAGGGCATTTGATTTCTACTTGGCCAAGCTGTACCTGTGTGAAAGAGCAAATGGGAGACCCCCCCAAGAAAAGCACTGGTTAATTTTCTGTTCTTTTTTTTTCATACAGTACTGCTTATTTCATGATTACAATAAAGGATTATTCGTCATTTTTCATGACTTCTAACCTAATAAATGGCAATCACTTTGGTACCTATATTGTGCAGTACCAAAATAATCACCATATAAAGTTTCCAAAATGATTTACAGCATATTTAAGCATTCTCTATCATCATGTTTGTAAACTTAAATGGACCTAAACCACAGGCTCACCAAAGAAGCACATTATCATCCCATCCTTCCGGAAACCTCAGAGTAAGACAGCATTCAGACAATGTTCCAGCTAAAGGAATAGTTGGATGAAAAAGTGATTCAGATTTTTCAACCTAACTACAAAGTACCTCAGCACTAAGTTTAAAGCACCTCTAACTACTATAAAGGAAGAACAAAGGATTTTCAAAGTACATATACATATATACAACACATAGTAGTTTTAAAATATTGCCAATAATAACTCCATTTTCCCTGACTCATCCATGTAACTAACATGGAATAGTTTTTATGTCATCAGAATCACAGGAACAAGTAAGAAAATTACACCAATCACATTGATGCAAAAACAAAACAAAACAAAACAAACAAAACAAAAAACACATGGGATCTGGCTACAACTGAGGTCATTTATAAAATGAACTTCTTCACAGGACCACAAAGTTAGGTTAGGAGAGAGGAGAAAGATATACTACAAGAGTACATTTAGCATTTGGTATGGGATTCTAGATAAGTTTGGCATGAAAGATTATAGCATATGAAGCACCAAGTGTGGACACGACTAAATTTTAACAAATGAAGAAAATAAACTACTTTGTAACAAAGAGTTCCAAGAATACTTTCCGTAAGTAGTGAACAAGAAGTGTTTATATTTATACATCATGGCATCATAATCTCTTTTTGTATATCCTAATATAGCAAAGGGAGGCCGTGAAGGCTCCAAATGGCAAACAATGTTAAACCATCTCTTTCTCTCACTTGGGTGAAATGTCACTTGACATTCTGAGAAGGCAAAACACATTGACCTTAATGAGAAAAGCCGTCTGTGAAAACTGAGGGAGTGTCTGGAGAAAGAAAAACATCACCACAAAGAACAATTCCAAAAAACACACAACTAACATCAGAGTAACTTTTTTTCCCACTTTGCTGTGTATCTGGCACAAATTTGAGGACAGGGAAAGTACACAGGCTGGGAGTGTGTGGGTGGCTGAGTCGGTTATGCATCTGACTTCAGTTCAGGTCATGATCACACGGCTCATGAGTTCGAGCCAGTTCGTGAGTTTGAGCCCCACACGGTTTGTGAGCTCAAGCCCTGCATGGGGCTGTCTGCTGTAGTGCAGAGCCTGCTTCAGATCCTCTGTCCAGCCCCCCTGCCTACCCTTCCCCCCATTCTCATGCACTCTGTCTCCCTCTCCCTCTCTCTCTCTCTCAAAAAAATAAACATTAAAAAAAATAAGAAGCCACAGGCCAAAGGATGCATGAGATGATACATTTAATACCAGTAAAGGACACGAGCCAGACTGATGATGAAATGAAAAAGGAGCGTTGGATAAACCTCCTTCTTAGGATAAACTTGCTCAAAGTGTATGTTGCTACATAATGCTATACCACTATTGTATAACATGGTCTAGAGAGATTTTTCAAACATTGGCCTCAAACAATTTTTCTATTTTTCATGATGTCTGCTTTTAGTTACAATCAGATTTGCTTATTACACTTGTTATGGGGTTATGAAATGTGATTATAACCCAAATTAAGGTTTATAATAAATTTTTCAGTTATAGTTCAAGACATAAATCCTCAGAAGATTTTAAACAGACAAAAAAAAAAAAACATGTGTGACATTATTAAAAACTGGGTGAATGAAACATATGCAACTTTTTAAAAAATTAATACATGTTTCCTCTTTTAATATTCTGTCAACATTTATCAAGCTGATTCCGAGCCAGGTACTGGATTAGGTGCTGAAGCATTGCAAGTGCCTACCAGTAAAGAGGTAATCATGATACAGAGCAGTGACCATGCCTGATGGGAAAGAACAGGATGTCAGGGGAGGATATGAGGAAGGCTTGGTAACCTTACCCTTGGGAGGTTCAGAAGAGGCTTCTTGGAAGAAGGAAGGTTTCAAGTGAGATCTTAAGATTAATAGAATTTAACCAAACAAGGGTGAAGGTGTTTCAAACAGACAGAAGATAAAACACAAACAAAGGCTTGGCGGTAAGAGAATACGGCACATTTTAGTGGGGTACCCATAGTTTCCCCACACCCTAGTTGGATCAAATGTATACTGCCCTAAGGTATATGCATCTTAACTTAAAGATGACAGCCACAGAGGGACTGAAAGATGATCAGTAAGACTGGACCACAAAGTGAGAGTATACAAAGACACGGGTGTACAGATGAACTGAAATCAGAGTGTGAGGGCAGAGCATGAAACCACCCTAAAAGTGTGGATGTTTTCCATATGAAAATGAAAACCCCCAACTTTCAGCATGTGAAAAACAACTCCTTTTTATTCCACAGAGAAAGAGTTCCTTTGGGCCATTTCAAGTGACTCTTTATTCTTGGGGAACAGCATACTTTAGGGGGTAGGAGTCATTTTTTTGGCTCCTTGGTCAATGTTTTAACCTGGCCTCCCTCACCTATAAGTTTGTTTATATTTATTTATTTTTCAGAGACAGCGTGAGTGGGAGGGATGGGGGGGAGGGGACAGAGGATCTGAAGCAGGCTCTGCGCTAACAGTAGTGAGCCCGATGTGGGGCACCTGGGCCAAAGTCAAACACACAACTGACTGAGCCACTCAGGTGCCCCACCTATAAATTTATTTTAACTACACAAGTGACAACAATGGAAGCAGTAATTTCACAGCCACCCAGGGACAGTCAGGTCTTATATAAATGAATGTAGTTTAGGGACCAGAACAACCCAAGGTAGCTCAAGGGAGCAGGTTATCTTATTACTCCTTCAGCAGTGAATGTTCATTTCCACACCACATTGGGATACCTGTCATCTAACAACCAACCAAGGACCTTGTCTTCTTCAGTGTTTTCCAAATCTGTCTGCATATCTATCCACTTGCATACAACACACACTTTCTTCGTGTTCTCAAACTCTCTGCATTTTGCTTATCCTGTACCTTCTCTTCTTTCTGAAAGCTGCAAAATCCTTACCCCACTGCAATGGACCAAATGATCTCTACTTTATTAAGCAGATAGAAGCAATATGATCATATTCACTCATCTTCCCGCTACCAAACTCTCTCAGAATCTATGTCTCTATCTTTTCTGTCCTCCTTCCATCTAAAATTTAGGGCCTGAATCTGCTTCCGGGACAACTGCTTGTGTCTCTTAAAGTGTATGCTGAGAATTCAGGTTTTCTGGCCCACCCAGGACCTACTAAATTTGAATCATTGCTGGTAAGCTAGTAATAGGCAGTTTGGAACAATTACTCATACAATTCTTCGAAGTACTCATAGTTCTGCATAGTAAGATTATTTCCTTTTTCACAATAAAATGCTACTCATGACCTATGCAATCTCTTGGCCTCTACATATCTATCTTTTTCAGAATAATTTCCTCAAAAAAATCACAAATAATGATTAAGCGAAGTGCATTCATTTATTTATTCAACAAGATATGTATTTCATCAGTTCAAGGACACAGTTTCTTCAGCATTTTAATATCTCAAAAGTCAGGACAGTCTTACAATCAACAGTCTTCAGCATTGTTCCATTGTTTAATTTGCAGTTTTTATTTTCTTGGTGGCACGTAATACAATATTATATTGTAATAACTGTATGTTATATACAATCATGTGTATAATATTGTATATTATACAATATAATACAATATATAACAATTGATCATGTCTTAGATTTCAATGAAATGTGTTTTTTACGGGTTAGGCACTATGGTGGACCCTGCAAAAATAAAGGGAGAGAGACACAGGGCTTCTATGCAGGAAATGAGAGATAAGCAAGTAATAAACCAGGCAGATTATAGTCAGTGCTAGAGGGAACTATGGATCAGGGAAGGGATCTCCAAGGAGGTGACAGTTTGAACAGAGAACTGAAGTGTCCTCATGCAGAGAAACTGGGGAAGAGACTACAGGCAACAGAGGCGAGGACATGGCCCCAGGGCAGAAGGTGCCTGATGTGCTTGTGTTCAGAGAACAGAACTGAGTGGCTGAGACACATACCAAATGAGCCAGATTGCACAGGCCCTGCTGGCTGTGATAAGAACCTATGGATTGTACTCTTAAGTTCAGTGTGAACCACTGAGTAGTTTTATGAGGCGAAGTGACAGACCTTGATTTACATTAAAAAAGTCACTCAGGGTCTCCCTGGAGAACGGACTATAGAAGGACAAAAGTGGACACTGGGAGAATAGGGCTCTAGATTATACTTTTCTTCTTACCAGTGGCCTCTGACTGTTTCAGCCCTCCAGGCAGTTGATGATGGATGACTGAACTAGGTGACAGAAGTAGCCAGATATAGGGTGCATTTCGGAAGACGAACCAGTGGGGTTTGGTGATGAGCCAGATATTGAAAATGAAGTAAAGGAAGGAAGCAAAGGTAACTCTAGGATTTTGGCTTGAATAATCTGATGATGGGCCAATGCTACTCACTGAGAAGTGTCTAATAAAATAGTTTCTGTAGATATGTGATATTTGCTAGACAGGATTCACTGCAAATTTATTACAGAAACAGGAATAAAGATCATTAGTCCATCCAAAAGCCCATATATTTGCTCCTACAATATTACAAGTAAAAGATATAGGTCCAGGATATAAAGTAGCTTTAAGGTATGAATCCTGACCTTGTAGAACCTTAGAAAACAGGAATCAAATTTGTGTTGAGAGCCTATTCTAGCAATTTGGATTTAATGATAGGAATTCCCTTGAATATTTTACCCACTGTTTAAAACACTTGTTTTGAATTAGGGT